GATGGTCTTCAAGTGGTGCTCCAGATGTTTTGGGATTGCACCCAAGGCGCCTATTACTACTCTCTTTCCTTTCTTTTGCCACAGTTGTTCTATTTCTATTTGCAGGTCTTTGTATTTTGTGATTTTCTCTAATACTTTCTATTATTATTATTATGGTTGGTCACAAGTCAGCCAGATGTTTAGATTGGATTTGGCATTTTTATCCACCTATCGATGATGATGATGATGATAATGATGATGATTTGCATTTCTAATGTATGCCTTGAAAGTAAAAGCTGACTTTCAAAAAAAGGAATTCACCAATGAGAGGCCTGCTAATAATTAAATGGACCATCCATATTCAGAGGCAGTCTACCTTTGAATAAAATTTTTTGAAAACATATCATATTAGAAGGACCACTATCTTGTCTGTCCTGTTTGAGAGCTTCCTGGAGGCATCTGGCTCCTCTAGTTTCAAATGACAATTAGATGGAAAGACATGACCTGGATTAATGTAAACTCTCAAGTTTCTGAGAGGCTAAGACACCCAAATGGCCTTGGCCCTGCATATTGAGGAATCACCTTCTGTACCTTTCCAGATGTTCTACAAAGGAAAAAATATATACTTCCTTGGTGACCCATTAACTTTATAACATAAGGCAGTTTTGCCCTGTTTGCAGTGTTAAAATGTGCTTTGTACCAAGCTAGATCTCCACATTTCATTTCTTTATTTCCAGAATCATACTCCATTCATCTATTAATATGGATGGTAATGGATGATAATTCACAAACGTTTCCGTGATAATAAAATAAAATTAGAACTACCAAATTTGGGCTGCAGAAATCTAGGTGACCACTAGAGGTCAGCCCGGGGTTAGTTTTCTGCATCCATCCAGTGGCCATCCTGTGCTTTGCAGCCAACAGCTAATATTCATTTATTCTCCAGATGACTCTGAGTGCTGTGCATAATGACTGAAAAAAAACAAATAATATGCATTCAGAAAAAAATCATATAAAACAGAGCCAAAACATGCCAAGCAAAATTGTGTAGGGGCACACCCACTGCCCTGTCCCAAGGCCTGGGAAAGTAGCCAAGTGTTCAGTTCCTTAGGAATCATCATAATCAAGGTGGGAGTCATACAGATCTCTCAGAGAATACTGTTTGGGAGGGGAGATGCTGCAGCAGAAAAGGCATAGTCTTAATATATTTGATTAGTTTGACTGTCACAATATCCTTTTTTTTTTTTAACCACTGGCTGCAGATGCTCTTCAAGGTGCTAAACGGGAGCTCTTTCTTCCCTCCTTGAATGAGCTGAATTCCTAGTGATTTCATGGACACATTCACATACAAGGAGTCCTCAGTTTACTATGACCACTCATTTAATGACTGTTCGAAGTTACAATGGTGCTGAAAAAGTGACTTACAACCGGTCCTCGCACTTACAACCATCGCAGTGTCCCTGCAGTTACGTGATAAAAATTCGGGCGCTTGGCAACCAGCATGTATTTGTGATGGTTGCAGCATCCCAGGGTGATGCAATCGCCATTTGTGATCTTCCCAGGGGGCTTCCGACAAGCAAAGTCAATGGGGGAGGCCAGATCTGCTTAATGACTGTGGGGATTTGCTTAATGGCTGTGGCAAAAAAAGACTGTAAAATTGGGTGTGATTCAGTTAATGACTGCATCACTTAGCAGCAAAAGTTCTGGTCCCAATTGTGGTCGTAAGTCGAGGACTACCTGTAGTTTTCTTGGCCTTATTTAATAGATGGTTTGCCACTGCCTTCTCAATTTTCCAGTGGAACCTATATCTCTGGTGTTCCCAGATGTCTCCCATCCAAGTACTGTCCAACCCTGCTCACCTGCTGAACATTTCCTGCTATAACTGATTCTTCCAACTGGAGGTGTCATGATTTGAACTCGGGAAGTTCTGCAGGCAGAGGAGTTGCTCTTCCATGGAACTTGGAACTTGGCTTCCCTTAAGTGCAAAGATCCTGGTCCATATGCTTCTGCATAAAAGGGCTAATAAAATCAAAATCCTTAAGGTCAGCCTGGTTTAAGAGATTTCTCCAGTGTGAAGGCAGAAATTGTTTTTGCTATCCCTTATTCTTCACAACTGGGAACTGGGAACTTTTTATGTAAGAAGCTGAGTAATGGTTGCAATTATTTCCTGCGCCAAAGCCAGCCTAAATGGCCTCTCTCTGGCCCATGTGCCTGCCTTGCAAAAAAGTAAACCAATAAAAGTGGAATACAAAGCTCAGATCCTTCTTTAAGAATAAGATCTGGTCCAAAAGGTATCCAAAAGAGAAGGGCTTATCTGAACACAATGAAAATAAGCACCCGACTCTCAAGTTTAGGAACAATTCAAAGTGAAGCGCTCTTCTGCTCACTGACGGAAGAAAGGATTTCTTCCTCCAATCTTACTGTGTCTGGAGAGGTCCCTCAGGTACTTAGGCCTTAAACCAGTTAGCCCTTTAAAGAGGGAAGCCGACACTTGGATTGCATTTGGAAAATGATTGGCAACCAATGAGGGGATTTCAGCAGGCGCTGGACTAAACCTGGTATTCTGTATCAGTTAGTAGCCTAACTGCATAATTTTTTAGCCACTGCGACTGCAGCAAGCTTTTCTAGCCTAGTTTACCCAGAGGATATTTCAATAGTGGTGCACCTGTGATATAACCCAGTGTTAAGTAATTGTTGTTGATAAAGAGTGCCACCATACTACCCACGCACCCCAAATGCAACCGGAGGGCACTCTAGAAGGACAGATCTATACTTTCTCCACACAAGCTTTCTCGCAGAAACTAGACAACTGTCTCTGGGGGACGATGCAGGGCCTCTGGCTTTTAAATATCCAGCAGATGGGGCTACCCTTGAAGAGTACCCGCAAGCTACAGCTGGTCCAGAATGCAGCTGTGCGGGCTATTTTTGAGGCCCCAAGGAGGGCCCATGTAATGCCATGCTCCGCGAGCTGCCTTGGGTACCAGTTTGCTTCTGGTTCCAATTCAAGGTGTTGGGTATCACCCTTAA